ATTATGTTTATTGCAATCAGCATATGATCCAGAACAGTAAAATCTGAAATTTTCTTATTTTACCTGAAGTGTTTCTATTTGTTTTAACTTACATCTAATTTCCATAGTCATGTAAGCCAGTACCCTCTTGGCTTTCAAGGATTTATTACTGCTACTAGATATTTCTTTATTTTCTGTCCATTTCTGCTCCATGAAGGGACATACTTTTATTATTTATTTGTTCAACTCAAGTCCTTAAGTTTATGTTTTGAGATCCTGTATTCTGTTTAGGACTCAGTTTCTCCCTCAATCAATTGACAGTAGTCTGAAATGTATTGACTTCAGCTGTAGCAGTAGTATTTTCTGTTTAGAGTGTCAGCAAAGTGTAGATACTCAGCAAATTCTTGCACTCATTATAAAAACACACATTAATTTAGTCCCAGTGCTGAATTGAGATTGAATGACCCCAGCATATTAGCTCTACTTTGGCCTAAAGCAATAAACCAAAGTCTTCTATACTTTTCCTCAGTCTCAATAAAGCCTTAAAACCCTGATAAATAAAGCCTTAATCCATGCCTTTTATGATCAAATTCAGAAAAATCAAAATATATACTCTCAAGTTTATATATAAATTATTAGGGTGCTTTGTTTTGTACCATAAACTCTATGTCCCGTATATCAGTGCCAAGCAATTCCATTTTACAATACACTTTAATTTTTTTCCTTATATTTATGGTTAAAAAATAAAATGATGGTCATAAACAAGCCAAAGACAAGAAGGAAAAAGAAAAAAGAAGTTTTACTTGTCTCAGCAAAACATAACCAAGAGACAGCTTGCTCCTTCTGCAACTTCAGCAATAAATAGGCAGGGTCTTCCATCCCCACTTAAAAAACAAAGGTTCTACAAACACATGCTCACCCTGCCTTCTACACATACTATTTCTTCTTTGAGACTTCTTTACATAAAATTATTCCTGGAATGCAAGTTTGTGCTACTGAAATCTTGACCCAGTAACATGAATCTGGATGATTTTCAGGTAAACCTGTTTGCCAATAACATTTTCATCATAGTTCAATTCATAATACCAGCATGTATTGATTTCACAATTTTTTCTCCTATTTGCCTTCTGCATATACAGCTGAAATTCAAGAAAAGTGTGTGTCATCCACAAATGGCAATGACATTTAATAGTTGTGTTCATTTCAAAGCTGCAAAATCAATCATCTTCAGTGATCTCCTTCTTCATCTCCTTGTCACTTCTGGTTTTCAAGAGTAATGGAAAATGGACCATTGGTAGCAGAGTTCAGTCTAGAGCAAACTAGCACCCCCAAAATGCAGATGCTGTTGACCCACCTACTTGATTTAGAGATAGGTTTTACCATTGCTACTTATCTTGAACATTTTTCAAAGGAATGGTCAAACCTCCTTTTACAAATACAGCTGTTCCTTAGAGCCCATTGCTTGTGAGGTTCTAACTTACCAACATGCTAATTCAGTGCCATGACTTTTCTAAAAGATACAGTTTATTATCATCAAAGAGATTGAAATGCTAAAGTAAAAGCAAAGGCTAAGGAGGGCCAAATGCTAATGTGATTTTTCAGATATTTTTTTTCAGAGATTAATTTTTTAACATAGTCATAAGGAGGGTATAATTGTCATATTAATCCTTGGTCTGGCACAAGGTACATCTCTTTCCATTTCCAAAGGTGACAGAAAACCTGCCCTCCATCTAGACAGTATGGTTTCATGAATAATTGGTTTGCACATTCAATCTGATAGTGGAAAGATGAATATGAATATCCCGCTTATCTTAAATGTTAAATGAAAAAGCTCAATCTGCTTCCAGGTTAAGCCTTTCTTTTAATGGTTCCATTGTCTCACATTCCTTCTGGTAAAACTTCATCATTTATTCAGTAACTCAGGCGTCTCGAATGCATTAATTGTGTAGACTGTAACCTAACAGACAGCTCTTGTTTTGTGAGTATAAAATTCCTGGCACACACTGTAATTATCTAGATTCTAAATAAGAAAGAAGGAAGACCTGAAAGCAGAATCAATTGATTAATGTAAAAATTAAACACCACATTTGACTGAATGTCTTTTATCACCACTACCCCATGCTATGTAAGCAGTTGTTCTGTTATCACAGTTAAAAGTTTTATAAAATATTTAAAATACTTTTTTAAAACTCATATGCAAAACATTTCAAAGGAGATCATTAATAGTAATTAATTCACAAACCCAAGAAACAGATAAGCAACTTTTACTGCTTATATTCTGATTGTTCTGTCTTTAGTGTAGACCTAACATGGACAGGTATCACTTTTAGCTGACAACTAGCAAACAGACTATAGATCACTTTTACAATGTTAAGACAATGGGGGAATATTGTCTCTGAGATTAAGACTTTTCCCTTTTCCTAGAGTAAAAAGGGACTGGAACACCTGCCTTACAAGGAAAGGCTAAGAGACCTGAGGCTTTTCAGTCTAGAGAGGAGAAGACTGAGGGGGAATTAGGGTCATGGTATCACACTAAGAGGGAACACAGAGAGAAAAAAAAAAAAAGATGAGGAAGCAAGGCAATGAAGTTAAGCTGATTTAATCAAGATCAGAAGCTGATCTTAGACCTTGAAATTAACTCCTCTCAATGAAAAGGAGTACTTTACTGCAGTAAAGTAGTACTGGTACTACAGTACAGTGAATTTTGTATTTCTTCAAGTGTAGTTTAGAATATCCTTTTGTTCAAACACTTGTATGCATTATGAATGCAGGAGAAATATTCCTGGAAGAAGAGGTCATTCTTCCTTTGTAATACAAATACCCAGAGCTCATGCAGTTTCTCATACACTGGTGGCAAGATATTCACATTTTCATTATTTTGATATGGCAGAGAGGTGGGATGCCATCCGGAGGGACCTGGACAAGATGCAGAAGTGGGCCCAGGTGAACCTCATGAGGTTCAACAAGGCCAAGTGCAGGATCCTGCACCTGGATTGGGACAACCAGAGATATGAATACAGGCTGGTGGAAGACATGCTAGAGGGCAACCCTATGGAAAAAGACCTGGGGGTACTAGTGGATGAAAAGCTGGGCATGAGCCACTGATGTGCAATTGCAGCCCAGAAAGCCAGTCACATCCTGGGCTGCATCAAAAGACGTGTGGCCAGCAGATCGAGAGAGGTGATTCTGCCTGTCTACTCTGCCCTCGTGAGACCTCACCTGGAGTGCTGCATCCAGCTCTGGTGCCCCCAACACAAGAAGGATGTGGATCTGTTGGAGTGTGTACAGAGGAGGGCAATAAAAATGGTCAGAGGGCTGGAGCACCTCTTTTATGAGGACAGGCTGAGGGATCTGGGGTTGTTCAGCCTGTAGAAGAGAAGACTCTGGGGGACCTTATAGCAACCTTCCAATACCTGAAAGGAGCCTGTAAGAAGGCTGGGGAAGATCTGTTCAGTAAGGCATGGGACAAAGGCTAATGGCTTTAAGCTAGAGAAGGATAGATTTAGGTTGGACATTAGGAAAAAGTTCTTTAATATGAGAGTGGTGGATCACAGGTTGCCTAGAGAGGTGGTGGGGGCCCCATCCCTGGAGCCATTCAAAGCCAGGATTGATGGGGCTCTGAGCAATCTGTTCTAGTGTGCGATGTCCCTGCTTATTGTAGAGGGGTTGGACTAGATGACCTTTAGAGGTCCCTTCCAACTCAAGACATCCTACAGTTCTGATTTCCCATAGGAACAGCAAAATTTACTTTACAGTGCAGTCTTATGCTACTATTCTAATGCTATGTGGTGACTAAGATATTCCTCTCACATTAACCTTAAAATTTTACTTTAGATAAAGCCTTTTTTTTGTTGTAGAAAATAAACTCTATCTGCAGTAGAATAGCTAAAGAGGTGCATCATCTATATAATAGGGTTAAACAATTTATTCCCTATTGTAATATATAAAAGAGAAAGTGGTTGCTACCTCCTCTTTCATCTTCAGAAGAAACAAAGTCTTGCTTTGATGCATCAGTTTAGCTATTTAATAAGAAGCAGAATATATAATTTTCCTCCTTTTTTCAGTCTGTCTGTGTGTCCTAGAATAGTTGCATTGTTTGCTGAAACTGTATTAAGGGTAAGCAACTTCAGCTTTCTCATTACGCTTTTCTTCTGACAGACATGGAAATACTCAGTATAATCTCATCACCTTGTATTCATCTGACTGCTAAAAGCTCTGGCACAGATTTCTCTTGGCCTACCAAGTATTAATTTAAACCACTACAGTCACTGACGTGCAAAGTTTAGGTGCCTTCTTTTAGCAGCACCAAATGCCCTTTTGAATTAAAAATTCGCTGTATTAAAATTAGTCCTTATTAGTCTCATGTATTAGTCCTTAGAAAAGTTAGAGAATTCCTGGCTGACACTATTGAGAAAAAAACAGTAAGTACTGAAGGATAATAAGAGCAGTGGGGAGGGAAGAGCAGCACCAGCAAAGGAGTCTGCAGAGGGATATGGAGCAATGATTGCACAGGAATGGCTGTACAGGGTCAGACACAGGACCCATCCAACGCAATATTCTGTCTCCACTACTGGCTACAAGTCAGTATCCAGGGAAAATAAGAACAGTAACATATGGTACTCCTTAAGTATCAACATTAAAATTCACATGTTTAAATAAGGAAAATTATTACTAATGAGGCCATAAATCTTTCACGGTTTATAGAAACAACATGGTCCAGAAATTTGCCTAACAAAGTACTTAGTCAAGATACACTTTGCAAAAAACCGACATGTCATTTTATGAAGTTACTCACGTTGCCATCACGACTGCCAGTTCTGAATGGAATCCAACAATAGTGTGGGAGAGCAGCACAGAGAACTGCCAAGTCCAAAACTAGCAGACTTAAACCCTGCCCATGCAAATAGATCAATGAGGATTTTCTCATGTAAGTCAAACTGACAATTGGGACCAAGCTGGAAAAAAATAGTTACACAAGCAACAGTTCTGTGATGTGAAAATATATTTGGTTTTGAACACAGGCTTAAGAAAGAATTGGAAAATTACAAAGATGATGATTGGGAAAGTATCTGTGAGACTCTTCGTACAGAAGTTGAAATTCTGCAAATGGTAGGCAATTTTCATCATTTATTTCAAGTGCTTGATAATTGTAATTGTAAAGGTGTAATTTGATATGATTAGCAGTGGGTTTAGATAAGCAGGGGTGTTTCTATGCTATGTACACATCCAAACATCCTGCAATTATTTGTTTTAGCCTATTTCCAAATATTCAGGAATATAATTTCTCTCAGAAAAGCAAAGCACAGAAAAGAATGTAAAGGTGTATTTTTAGCACAAGAAGGACCCATTTGATGAACTTGAGCTACCAGTTTATTGAAAGCTGCCAAAAATTATGTATTTAGGAAGTAAAGCTAAATTAGTATTTATCTTCAGCTGTCAGTTAAATGAAAGATGGGAATATGGAGACATAGGATTATAATAGCATCTTTTAATGTAATATTTTATTTTTTCCACTCACAAATTCCTTACAAAAACTTCTTGAAGTCTTTTTTTTTTTTTTTAATGTCAATCCTAGCTTCAAATTTCTTGATGGTCAATGTGTGTCACAATACAAAGAGAAAATATGTTTTGAAATCCCATCTTTTAAATTAAAGAGGTTTTAAAGATTCATTTCAGAGCCCCTGATTGAACTGCAGGCAGATGCAGCTGCCACGAGCACTAACAGCAGAATAAAAGTCATGGGAAATTTGTATTACTCACTTCTATGATGTGTTTTAAGTTTCTGTTGGAGGAACATAACTTACCTAGACCTTATCTGCTAATTTTATCATGCTTTTCAAACTTCTGAAACAAAAAGAAATCAGCTCAATGTTTAAAAAGTTCTCTGTAAAGAACATGCTGAACTAATTTTCTGTGATTCAATCCTTACTCTTTTGCAGAATCTATCACAAAAAAAGTCTTCAGACAAGTGAATAATAAATGGCATGATCAGCAGTGCCATGAAAGCCAGTCTTTGCATATTTTAAAACTACTTTCCTCAAACTTTATGTGGCTTGCTTCTATTTTATGAGTTGTTTCATCAAACCACAGTTGGTATCTGCCTTTACTTTTTATTAAAATAAAATTTTATTCATTTAAAAGCAGTGGGGGGTTTGCGTTTTATCCTCAAGTTCAACAGCTATTCATCTTTAGTTCCCTCTTTGTTGCTCACAAATGGACCAAACATAATCCACCACACATCAGCTGAGTTCCTATATTCACAGATCTAGTTTCTATGCACTGCTTTGTGGAATGAACGCTCTCCTGTCTTTAAGGTAGTGATGTGGTCTTCTTTGAGAGCAATGTTGCTGTTACCATCAAGAAATACTTCACAGGAGCTGCAGTTACTTAGTTTATACTTTGACAATGCAATCTGTAACAAGCTCTCTGAAGCATCTCAACTCCAGCAATGATAGTCCAGAATAGTTTCCAAATCTCTTGAGCAGTAGATTCCTCCAGTGATTGTAAGCCAGTCCATTACTTAGCATTGGCTTCTGATTATATGAGAAGATTACATGGGAAGTTTTCTTCCTCTCCCGCAACCCACAACATACTGAGTGCTAGCTTCAGCACTTGACAGAAAAGATAAATCTGTTCTCTACATGAAAGTCCACGTTTCTAGAGAACTGGTGGATTTCCACTCAACACTGAATACTCATCGTTCAAGCATGTAGGATGTGTAACTGCTACAGCAGTTCCCAACCTTATGGTAGGACCTGGCTTTATGATTCAAGTGCTTACAATAGGGCCACATAAAAACATTCACTCTGCTCAACCTCAGTCCACTCTGTGGTCACTGTCTCATCACATCCAACTGTGTATGCAAAAAATTTTGTATCTGCTTCCCAACTAGGGGGTGAGATGGATAATTGCTCTTCACTAATTTTTCTACACCCAGAGCTCTCTGGGCTACTGAGGGTGTCTGTCACAGGTAAAACTGCAAAAGATGTTTTACTGAGAGGAATAAATCACTTTTGGAAGCTGAGCAAATTCTGCCTGTGTTGGAGGAAGTTTTTCCTCCTTTTGGGACACAGCTGCAGTTTGAAGTCTGGCAAGTTTCAATCCGCAGCACCGGCATCAAAGAGTGTTCTGATCCACTGGGTTAACTAGGATAATTCCAAGAGGTTGGAATTATCATTCTTAATAACCAATGCTATTGGAGATGACAAGCTCATAAGGTGTTTTTGTCTCTTGCCTAAGAGATCCTCACAGGATGTGCTTAATTTTAAACAACTTAGTCCCTCTGACTTCTGTGGGACCATCTGACTTTTAAAGTTAGGCAACTACTGCTTGTGGACTTTGATCAAACGCAGGGCATATTTAAAAATGCTACAGTTGCATATAAGGGTGTCTACAGACAGCTAAAGTAGTGCTGTTTCTGGGTTTAATTGCTGGAAACAGATATGAATTTGGGATTCGCTGGATAATCCTGATCATTTTATTCATTTTAGGGAGCTTGCTTATGTTAAGCATATAGGTTGATCAACAAGGAAATATTTTTAAACTTCAGGTTTAGCCACTTAAAATTGTTTTTATTTTCAAGAATCCTTGCATCTCTTTTGCAATGGTTTCATATTTATATACTTTTTTGGTCCATATACATTAAACACTCAGGTATGACAGGAACCAGAACTTCTTGGTTTATACCAGAATTCTACATACACATTTAAGGTAAGTGCAAAGAACAATAGCATCCAATAACTATCAATTAGTTCTACAAATTAATGTCCCTAAGCCACCTGAAGAAAATATTTGGCAAAAAGAAAAATGATAGGCCCTTTTAGAGATATTTTCTACTCCAGGAAACAAGCAGCTTCAGTTCTAGGGGTGGAAGTGTAGTTTGTTGGGTGAGTGTTTGGTTTTTAGTATCTATGAAGGTCTAAGTTCTTGATTATTGTAGTAGAATTACAGCATAAATATAGAAAAATTTGTAATAACTCAAGCGACTAAAGTTCCCAGAATCAATATAACAACAAAACAAGAATAAAGCTCACCAAAAAAAGTGAAACAGAAATCAATACAAATCCTATTGGGCCAAACAAATCCCTCAACAGCTCTGAAAATAATATAATGCCAGACTAAACCAACTGTTGCAAGGTGAATGCAAAACATACTAATTTCTCCACGTATAAAAATAGATTTGCCACCACATTCTTATGAATAATGTAATTTGGGACAAACACAATATTTCTGTTTGCAAGACTCAAACTAAGCAGTAAGCAAGTGGGTTTTTTCGTGGATTTTCTTTAAAATTCTCAGACCAGGGAAGAGTAAACTTTTAAATAATGAATGCAAAAGAAACAAGTCTTTTGTCATGTTTAATAAATATGTTCAAGGATAGAACAATGCCAAATTGCCCTGAAAATACACACACAGTTATTACGAAGAAATAAATTATTTCACAGATGACAGAACAAGATATTGTTTTTAAAGGATAGATTATATACTTTGCATGTGACAGTCTAACAGAACCTCTGTTGTATTAGTAGTTGTTCCTTTTTATAACCAAAAAATATAAAGTACAGCCATGTAGATAGCTGAAGGAGTTTGTGAGAAGGAGGAAGATGGTCCAAGAAAATTGTTATTACTCTAGAGGGAGGGAAAAAAAAAAGGCAGATGGAAAACTAGCCATGATTCTGGATTGGACCCAGGAACAATTGCTTTTTAGGCTCAACAGATGAAAAAAATAAAAATTTGTTAAAAAAGAGGGAATTTAAGAGATACAGATAAATACTTTAGGTTACTAAATTTACCATGTAAGGACTGAGATTTGGCATTAAGGAGTTCAGCTGTCACATTTTCATGTTATTTTCTTTATTATTAACAGCCAATTCAAAGACTACCAAAAAATCCATCACAATATCTGACTATAGCATAAAATGCAGTTAGCTAATGAAACAGTACCCACAGAAATTCTTATTGGTTGACATAAATATCGCTGAACTGGTGACAGCACCAAATTGATGTTATAAAATGAATGTCAAGAAATAAAGAACAAATACACACACACAAAAGCACCTGTAACCAAGTCAGTGAGAAAAAATGAATATGTATGACACAGAGGGCAAAATACCCATTGAGGTCCCACATCCCTGTTCAGCTGATCTAGTTTATGGAGTCACAGAGGCAACTGACAGGTGTCCAGCTGCAGAGCTGGCTCCTAGTTAGAGCTTGACAGTGTGGCAGTTGACTGGTCCAAAAAGTTAGACCTCAAGGGAAAGGAATACTTGTTTTTAAAGCCTGTGACTGAATTATAGAAAACATTTCTTCAAGCAGACCCATACAGTAACACCCAAATGTTACCACCTTCCACCACTCCTATGATCTCACCCATCCTCCCAAGTCTGTCAACCTTAAGATTAAAAATTTCTTTGGAAATGTGAAGTGGGAGCCAAATTCTTTCTTCCCCCTTAATATCTTGAGTATTTAAAGACAAGATCTACTTGTTTGGAAGGAACAGTTTTACAGTGATCAATCTTACATGTAAATAATTTATTATATATATGAAACACCAGCAAAGAGTGTTCATTTCTTGGATTTTACTGAAACAATATTTCCTGTTGCTTTGCACTAACGAACTTCCAACCAATCCTGATGTTCTTGTGACAGAGCCCATAAGCCACTACTTCACTTTAGAATACAGAATTCTTCTGATTTATTTAACTAAATTTACTCTACCAGGAAAATAACAAGTTGTAATCAGTAATCAAACTATGGATTGGAATGTTGTTTAATCCCATACTCTAAGGAACATGTGGTATAATTGGGTTCCCTTGAACAAAGTCTCCAACAAATAAGCACATAAAGATAACTCAGATAATCATAAAGAGTGAACAGTAAGTACAGCGTGTACAATCAACAGAATAAAAGCACATTCTTCCTGCCTAATATCAGAATTTTATGGCTCTTGGGGTCTTCATACTACATATATACCATCTAGTCTTTAGTTAAAAATCTGGACAACCAGGCTATCAGTCAAAGTGAGATTCGTAAAGGGATGTTTCAGTGCCATCTAGTGGTTTTTTCTTATTAATAAAAAATGCTCCTTCGTTTGACAATTTGCATTTTATCATTGTAATCAGAGAACACTTTTTGCCACTGCTATATGCTTAGTTTTTCCTCACTTTTCATACATAATGATGTTGGACATATCACCTTTAAAATACTTGGCTTTGTCTAAGGATACACTATTTCTGGGCAAAAATAACTTATCTTGCAGGGTGATCTATATTATGTACATGGAGAAGGCATCAGACTGTGATGTTGACACAAATAACCTAGCCAGGCAAACCTCATCTTTTGGAAAGGAAAACAGCTGCAATTTGAAGAGTCCAAGAGGTGAGCTGCATCAGAGCTGTCCTGCTAACGAACCTGTATGTTAATCTTCATCTAATTAATTGGTTGAACATGTTGTCTGTAGCTTCTAGTCCTTGATTTTTCTCATGCTTTCTTCTCTGAGATTCAAAAGCCTTTTAATACATAGTATATTCTCCTTGTCTTAGTACTTCTGTGCTGCAATCAAGTTACCTTTCATACTCTTCTTTGATAAGCTTAACAAATCGCATCTTTTCTGTCTGTCACAGTTTGACTCAGGTCCAACAACAATGCTCTCAATCCCCTCCCCCTCCCACCCAAGTAAGGAAGGAGAGAGAGAAAAAGAGAGAGACTTGGCTGGATTGAAAACTAAACTACACAGCTTTAATTAAAACACTAATGAATTATACAAGAAAATATATACAATTATATACAGATATGTTCAGGTATGGGCAAAAGCCTCTCGCCTCCCCCCACCCCAGCAACTCCCACAGCACTTCCCTGAACTGGGAAGACTCCCGAGGAATCCCGGAGCTGCTGCTGGAACAGAGCAGAGAGTTATGGGGGTCACGAGAGATCAAGGCTGAGGATCAACGGTGATGGATGAACAGAGTCCTCC